TGATTTAACATGACTAATCATGACTAACCATGATTTAACATGACTAACCATGATTTAACATGACTAATCACAACTGAACATGATTTAACATGACTAATCATGACTAACCATGATTTAACATTAACTTTCTGCTGCCTTTCGTTTTAAATCTCTTGTATCTTTTTATATTGTTATGGAATTGTTTTGTACTTTTTAAAAATGAATAAACTTTATACCATACCATACCATAATTGACTTTAAGGATCTTTTTCTTTAGTGTTGCAATAATTTCTGATTTATAAGTTGTTTTAAATATAAACCAAACAATCTATTTTCTTCATATTGTTCCAGACATAAACAGACGAAAACACTTGGACTTGGAAATGCACGTCCAAATTAATCTTTATTACATATTTTAATTTCATGCTATGAAAATAATTCAGTTTTAAAACTGCAGCCCCGTTCAACATGAACAATAACTGAGAAATACAGCTCTGCATTCATGAAACCAACGTGCGCTCACTGGCCGTGCGCTCACTGGCCGTGCGCTCAAAGGTGTGTGAAAGTATAACAGACAATCATTTGTGTCACTCGTCTCCATGAGGTTGATGTTTTAGTGTAAACTCTTAAAACACACAATCTGCTCGTTCACAGAGAACCCTTCCCGTCAGGTGAGAGACGAGGTGGTCCAGGGCTTTCAGTTCTTCACTTCAGATGATGAGCGGAGATGAAGACGTCAACAAGCTGATCTGAAACCGTGTTGCAGGTAAACGTACTGGATGGATCCAAGTTTGGGTGCACCGTAGAAAAGGAGGTGCCTCCTCAATGAGACACTGCGCAGAGCAAACAGGATGTTGGAGGGTTGCTCGGTGGTCGTGTGGCGCCCTCTGCTGTCAGAAGTCAGACCTACAGCGTGTCCAAGCACCTCAGCATGTCGGCAGGAGGCGAGTGGACTTTCATGCTGTTTGAGCGCAGCTGGAAGCTCTGGATCAGCTAAAGAGACAAGAACAGTGGAAGAAAGCAAATCACAACTAAGGACACGTTGAAAAGAATACACGACGACAAGAAGAAAGTAGAAGCTCACCGCTGGCAACGCCAGGTGCGTTAGTTTCTTCCACTGAGACAGGACGTCGTCCTCACTCAGAAGACCTTCGTCCACCAGCCTTCGGACCAGGAACAAGTAGTTTGTCTTCTAACAAGGCACAAGAATACAAGACAGGTGGACGATAATGTTTCTACCTGTGTCTGTGTAGCACCTTTAGAAATGTTTTAATAGGGTGGCTGTGTGGAGGGGCAGCACGGTGGCGCAACTGGTAGAGCTGCTGCCTCTCAGCGAGCAGGTCCCTGGTTCAAACCCCGGTCCAGGGGTCTTTCTGGGTGGAGTTTGCATGTTCTCTCCGTGCATGCGTGGGTTTTCTCCGGGTACTCCAGTTTCCTCCCACTGACCAAAAACATGCATGTTAGGCTGATTGGTAACTCTAAATTGTCCCTAGGTGTGAGAGAGAGAGTGAATGGTTGTTTGTCTCGTTTGTCTCTATGTGTCCCTGTGATGGACTGGAGACCTGTCCAGGGTGTACCCCGCCCCTCGCACAGTGACTGCTGGACATGGGCACCAGCGACCCCCGTGACCCAAAATGGAATAAACGGGTAAAGATAATGGATGGATGGATGGATGGCTGTGTGAGGGCCCTGCGATAAACCAGGGACTACTGGATTATTTTACATATGCAGCAACATACACGTCTAGACTGGACTACTACAATGGTTTATTGTCTGGGTGTCCAAATACTTCTTTAAAATGTCTTCAGTTGATCCAAAATGCTGCTGCCAGAGTCTTAACTGGAGTTACTGGGAGAGATCATCTCTCTCCAGTTTTAGCTTCTCTCCATTGGCTCCCTGTCCAATCCAGAATAGAATTCAAAATCTTACTTCTAACCTACAAAGCCCTCAACAACCTAGCTCCATCTTATATTACAGATCTTATTGTTCCATATTTTACTAACAGAGCACTTCACTCTCAGACTGCAGGTTTACTTGTGGTTCCTAGAGTTTCCAGCAGCAGAATGGGAGGAAGATCTTTCAGTTCTCAGGCTCCTCTCTTGTGGCACCAACTTCCTGTTTCTGTCCATGAGGCTGACACATTGTCCAGTTTGAAGACTGGGATTAAGACTTTCCTTTTTGATAAATCCTATAGTTAGGGTTGGCTTGTGTTTCCTGAGCTGTCCCTTAGTTCTGCTGCTATAGGCTTAGACTGCTGGAGGACAAACTGACCTCGTTTCTTCAAATGATAGTTATAAATCAATATTTTGTATTTGTAATTATTTCTATCTTAACAAGTTTTACTTTTGTCTTTCCTCCTAGAGATCACCTGATCGCCTCTATTCTCCACCAGTCGTTCTGTGTCTGTTTCTCCTTCCTGTCCTCTGTTTCTCCTTCCTGTCCTCCGTTTCTACTTCCTGTCCTCTGTTTCTCCTTCCTGTCCTCCGTTTCTACTTCCTGTCCTCCGTTTCTCCTTCCTGTCCTCCGTTTCTCCTTCCTGTCCTCCGTTTCTCCTTCCTGTCCTCAGACCCAGCCGGTCGAAGCAGATGTCCGCTCGTCCTGAGCTGGTTCTGCTGGAGGTTTCTTCCTGTTAAAGGCAGTTTTCCTTCCCACTGTCTCCTTTGTGCTTGCTCAGGATGGGAGACTGTGATGAAGTGAAGATTCAACACGTCTACAGCTTCCTCACATAAATGGACTGTACTTATACAGCTCCTTTCCATCTTATTGAGATACTCAAAGCTCTTTACAACACTCTGTGCCTCATCTACCCATTCATACAGCTCTATACTAGATCTGTACAAAGATAATTGAACAAATCATTCTAAAGAGACTACTCAGTGCTTTTAGATCACATTCATACACCGATGGGACACACATCGGAGGCAACAAGGGGTTCAGTGTCTTGCCCAGGGACACTTCGGCATGTGACTGCTGTGGGGTTTGAACCCCCAACTCTTGCACTGGAGGACGACGGCTCTAACCACTCAGCCACAGCCGCCCCTAATGTATATAATAATGTAACTAATTGAACTTCTATGAATGTTTCTTGAGACGGCTTCTGTTGTGACTTGTAGAAATCAAGTGAACTAAGAGTCAGAGGATGAGCTGCTGATACACAGTCTAGTTCTTCTTAGATCTGATATCAAGTATTTACACCTTAAAGCTTCCTAAATGTTTATTATCATGCCTCAGAGACCTGCAGCCACCACGAGGGCACTGGTTGAAACTCTTTATTCAGGTGGACTACATTTCAAGTTCATTGAACTTCTAATAAAATATATATTTCAGTCCTATCTGCTCAAAAACAAAGTTTGTTTTTATGTTAGAGGTTCTACTAATCATCACTTGATAGGGGAAGCACACAAACAACACGTTTGGGACTGGAGGGGGTACCAGCAATATTTTAGGGGCGGTGTCGTACAAACCTCCGTGTTGCTCGCCTTCAGCACAGCAGTGATGGTGAGAGGGCTGAAGAGCTGATGGAGGGGGGCGGACAAACAACAGCTTCTCCCCCACAGCTCGGCGAGCTGCTCCAGCAGTTCACACATGGCAGGTTCTGACCCGGAGCTGGGACGGACAAGAACCCCGGCGTGTTCGCCACAACACAAGGATCGCACCGGCAGCTCTCCAGACACTGAAGAAAAGACAAGGTCCAGGCTGGTGAAACACACGAGAACAGCTTCATGTAGGACACCACGTGTACCACTGACAGACATGGGTCTGTGAACATGTAGGAGGTCAGGATCCTGATCGGAGCTCACGCAGGACGCTCGAACAGTCCCAGGAGCTCCACGTCTCCTTTCATGACACTTGCTTAAAGGTGACCACACACCTGGACTAGTCTACGATGAGGCCATGCTGATGGGATGGAGCCTCCACCGGGTGAAACATACATCCATCCATCCACCCACTCACCCATCCACCCACCCACTCAATCCATCCATCCACCCACTCAATACATCCATCCATCCACCCACTCAATACATCCATCCATCCACCCACTCAATCCATCCATCCACCCACACACCCACTCAATCCATCCATCCACCCACTCAATCCATCCATCCATCCATCCATCCACCCACTCAATCCATCCATCCACCCACTCAATACATCCATCCACCCACACAC